CTGCTCCTCCACCTGCACCTGCTCCACCTGCGCCGACGGGAACAGGAGAAGGAAAGTGGAGTCCACAAAAGGAAGTATGTGCGTGCGGTTACTTTTAATGTTGGCAGCAAATGTGGGCAACCAAAGACTAAGGAGTTTGGCCATAGCCGATTTGTCCTTAGAGGACTGGTTGGCAGAACAGCGCCAGCAAAATAAATCAATCAATCAATCAAGCCTTTATTTGTCACTACACTTTCGTATAGCGAAATTGGACCCCCCCAGACCATACACAAAACATCACAAACAACTTTTCAGGGGAGACAGATCTTAGGAGGTAGCATTTAGAAACGAAGAAAGATACATTTGGACAGTTAGGCTAAAAAACACCCCCTCAGCTTGCCCTTGATTAGGACAAAGTGAGAAAAGGGAGAAAAACAGCCCTATCTTAGCATAAGCACACCGGCAAGACACAACATAGACAGAGGGGATGGGAACAGGGGTAATGGAAAACAGTCCGTTGAGTGCGGGCAGCCAGCTGGTCCAGCAGCCATCCGGCGCAAGTCACAGCCCCGCCCACGCCCCACGTGGGTAAAAGCACACGAAGGCGTTTGGATGGGGATCGGTGGTGAATGTTTATCTGTAGATATGTTTGTGTGTGTGTGAGCCTGCATAGTCCAAAGTCCCGCAGGTGTCCTTGACAGGGGCAGGAATTTCAGAGCGTCCGCTTATCTTGCTTATCCCAGGGAGTTGTTTACTTCCAGCCGAGGCCGTCTGGCAGGAGTAAGAGGAGAGCCGAAAAAAAGACAGTAAGATACTTCAACTTTAGGTCAATATCTGCCAATTTCACAGATATTTAATGTCCATCACTCGTCTCCCGATCTGGCCAAAATTTGTTGCAGAGCCGCTAACTTCACCTCGATGGTTTCCAGTTTGCGGTCAAGGACCATAGTCTGATTCGCGACCCTACCCATCAGTGTTTCAATCAAGCCGGCCAGCCTAGTGGGGTTTTGAGCGGCGCTGACCGCTTTTATCAGTTTCCGATATCCCAGGGCCCCGCATAAGCCCATCAGCAGAAACCCTGTTATCAAAGTTCCGAATAGGTAGATATCTTCATTATCCTCCAGAGACAGAGCAGCTAGACAGAGGACTCTCCACTTCTCCCACCCGTCCATCACATGTGATGATAATAATAATTATTATTAATAATATTATTATTAATAATTATTAATAATAATAATTATTGTTATTATAAATAATAATAAAATGTTGTTGTTGTTGTTGTATTTGTTGTTGTTATTATTATTATCATTATTAGGATATTGAAAAGCTCTGTTTCGTCGTGTTGTTTTGGTGACTCTGTTGGTGTAACTAAAAAGTCCACAAGTTTTTCATTTATTTTTGTGTTCGGACTTTTAGGGTCATCTCCTTTTTTTCTGGGTCTCTGGGGCCTTTCTTGAAGTTCCTCATTTTTATTTTCTGCACTCTCCAGTTCTGGGCTTTCCTATTGTGGAGTATCCACATCACTGTCATTGACTGATCCATCCATATGATTTTCAAAATCAAGATTACTGATTGTACTGGGAAAATTTACTAAAGGTGCACAATGTTACAATATTACAGTGCTTAAATGTAAAAACAAACTTAGCATGCATCATTTTTAATTATTACATTACTACATTTAATTACATTACCATAAAAAGTACCTTCTATTCTGTAGAAATACTTTTAGGAAAGAAATAGCTGCAGCATATTTCCATTTCTGCTGACGTGTTGCTCCAGAGCCACTTGGCAACTGCTGCCTTTTTTCCACTTTATATAGTTGTCACAAAGTGCCTTCCATCTAATCCTACACTCATGTTCTGTCAAAAACAGAGAAAATAACGTTGATATTATTGGTTATTTTACAGGTATTTGGCAACAGGAAACTCAGTCAGAACAATTGCCTTTCATTATCCATTGGGGGAGAGCACAGTGGCTAAAGCCATCAAGGACACATGTGCTGCAATTAACAGGAACATGGCACTTACACATTTACCAAGACCTACTGAAGAGGATTGGAGGAATATAGACCTCCTTCATCAAAGAGCGGGTTTTATGATAATTTAAAACATTTTATGAAAGAGCTCGACCCAAAAAAAGAATTAATATTGGTTGGAGATTTTAATATTAATTGGACTGAAAAGTTACAAAGAAAAAAAGCTTCAGGAAATAGTAAGCAGTTTTGACCTAGTGCAGTTATTCAGGGGCCTACTAGAATTACTTCATCATCTGAAACCCAAATTGACTTGATTTTTAGCAATAAACCAGAAAGAGTAACAAAGTCAATAAACTTATTAACAGGGATATCAGATCATAATCTTATATTAGTGGTAAGAAAACTAACAAAACATGGGTTTTTATATCAACAAGATAAAAGAAATGTGTTAAATGTTATACTAAGAAAGCTTAAAAATTAATTTGAAGAAGAAATCAAAAAATTTGATTGAAGTGAGATATTATCTACAGATAATCTAGAAGATGCATCTGAGTGTTTAATGGCAGAAATTAATAAAACCAAAAGTAAATTTAGTAGAAATATCACCTTCTCTAAAAAAAAAAAAAAAGCAAAATTTACCTTGGTTAAATGAACAATTGTGGAAATTAATGAGACAGAGGGATCATGCCCTAAAGAAATCAATTAAATCAGGGTTAGCCCTTGATAAAAGAACCTTTCAGCAACTGCGTAATAAAGTTGTAAAGGAACTAAGACAAGCAAAAGCAATATTTCTTATTGATCTTATAAATAATGCAAAAGGGAATAGTAGGGAAGTATAGGAGAATATTAATAAAGTGCAAAAAAAAATAACTATTAATAATAAAGCCATTGAGTTACAATCTCAGGGACGTTTAATTCAAGATAAGTATCAAATTGCTAGGTTATTTAATAATTTTTTTATAGATTCAGCCCAAGATTTGGCACAAGGATTTAGTTTTAGAAGTAAAGACATTACATTACCAAATTATGATATTACTGTTTTTAATATTTCTGAAGTATCTGAATCTTATGTACAAATATTTTTAAGTCAACTTAAGAGTTCTAGAGCTAAAGATGCCTTTGAATGTGACTCAGCATTTTTTTAAAAGTATGCAAATGTTTTTAATACACCTTTAACTCACCTTGTTAACTTATCAATAAGACAATCTTATGTTCCAAGTGCCTGGAAGTCAGCAGTAATAACACCCATATTTAAGACTGGAGATTCTACTAATCTGGTAAATTATAGGCCTATCAGTATTTTACCAACTGCCTCTAAAGTAATTGAAAAGGTTGTTTGTAATCAGCTGGTAGAGCATTTAAATTTAGATAAATTTCCATTACACTCTATGCATTTTGGATTTAGAGCACGTCATTCTACGGAGACAGCAAACTGTTACTTTATTGAACAAATTAAATCCAGTCTAGATAGGGGTGGAGTTGTTGGGGCGGTCTTTCTTGATTTTAAAAAGGCCTTTGATAATGTTAACCACAACATACTTTTATCTAAATTATCAAGGTTTAATTTTTCTGTTAACGCATTTTCATGGATGGAGTCATATTTAAAATCAAAAAAGCAATGTACAAGAATTAGTGGTGCATGCTCACCACATCAATTGTAATTTTGGAGTTCCACAAGGATCAATTCTTGGACCAATTTTGTTTAGTTTATACATTAATGATCTGCCTACAGTGTGTCCAGAAGTTCAGGTTCAAATGTATGCAGACGACACGGTAGTACATACTCACGCTAAAACCAAAGAACATGCTGCTAAAAAACTAACTGCTGCACTCAAAAAGGTTTCAGATTGGTTATATCATTCATGTCTTACCCTCAATGTACGTAAAACTGTGGGAATGTTTTTTTTCAATTAGGAAAAATGAGGAGCATTGCTCAGATATTTTAGTTAATGGAGAAGTAATAAATATTGTTGATCATTTTAAATATTTAGGTATAATTATTGACTCCAATTTAAATTTTAAAAAACACATTAAGAAGGTTTCCAAAAGTGCTAGAGCAAGCCTGAGGATCTATAGAAACATTAGGCATCAGTTACCTATGGCTGCTGCTAAACTTTTCATGAATACAATGATTTTACCTCATTTATCTTATTGTGCTACAAGCTGGTCGCATACGAACATTACAACATTAAAACCATTGTATGTTATATATAAACAAACTGTTAAAATGTTAGCTAAAAAGCCAAGGAGCTATCATCATTGCAACTGTATTGCACAACAAAAATTACTAACATTTGACAGTTTCTTATTTTATGTTGATGTGTGTTTAATGTATTAAATATTTCATGGTCTTGCACCACCACCCCTCAAACAATGTGTGATTGTCGGCAAGGACAATATAAGACAGACTAGGTCATCTGTTAGAGGTGATTGTTCAGTTAAACTTAAGAGAACTGCTTTTGGACAATCAGTTTTTTTTAGTTAAAGCAGCAGAAAGATGGAATAAAATACCAGTGTATATCAGAGAGAGCAGCACTTTTTATAATTTTTTTAAACTGTTCTTAAAATTTGGCTAAAACAAAATCAAATATGCAGCCACTGATTTGATTTCATTTTATTGACAATGATGTGTTGTATTTATTGTACTGTAAGTGTATATTGTATTTGTTATAACTGTTAAATTTGTAACTTGCCCTGGGACTACAAATGTAAATTAGCTTTATATTTAACTCTGGCACAACATGTCATGTTGTACATTGTCCCTGTATAAATAAATAAAATAAATAAATAAATAAAAATAAAAAAGTTTTTCAAAATTGTTCTAGAAATGTTTAGATTAAAAGTTTTGATCAATTTTAAACATTGTTTATCTGTGCGTGTGTCTCTGTGTGTGTGTGTGTGTGAGAGAGAGAGAGAGAGCGAGAGAGAGATAGTGGAAAGTGGAAAACGAGGGAGATATGTACATGACTGCAACATTAAGTGGCAAAAAAAGCTAAACAAAAAAAAGACTTTTATTTTGCCGTGGTGTGTGACATCATAAGGCTGCGCCGCTCCTGCGCTGGGATTCAACTGGAGAAAGGTTTCTGTTTAAAACTTTTACACAGATATAAACCAATCGATTAAAGTGTCATCCAATGCTAAATTATGAAGCTGCTGTTGAAAATATTATTTAACCCTTTATACAACGTAGTACTATTTTACTCACAGTAATGAGGACTACTGTTTGAATAAGTTAACAGAAATGTGTGTAACAAGTGTTTTAATGTAGGTTTAATTTATTAAATAGTATAATGTTATTTCATTCTAAGTATACTTCACTATATAAGAAATGGAGTACTAGTTTTAATCAGGTCATTTGTGGCTGTTGTTTTTTGCTCGGACTTACCTGATTTCTTTTGTTCATCACTCTCATATAAAGAAACTGCTGAAGCAAGTGTTGAAGAGAAGTTCTTTTGTTTCTGTTCATTGTTTTATTTATTTAAACAGGACATTTTTATAGTTTTGTTCATTTTAAACAGGGCAAAGTGTCAAAACGCAGAGAGAAACTCCTGCTGAAGCGACTGATCTCCACACTGTTATAAAGATGGTGTTTATTAAAGAGGAGAGTGAAGATGTGAAGATTGAAGAAACATTCAGAGTCAAACAGGAAAATCTGCAGAAACAAACAGGTTGGTTTTCATACTGATATTTTTTAAAAATAAGAATACTAAATTAAATCCATCTTGCAGCCCTGAGTGTGATGCCTAGTTCTCCTAAATGCACATAAGCACTCATTGAAAGACAGGAATCAGTTTCTTTCGTTACTTGTTCCCATGTCTTTTGTCATTTATTTTGTGTATTATTAGTCTCCCATTTCGTCACCTTGGAATTTTAGGTTCTCTCTGCGTTCTGAATGATTTTGAGATATTTAGCTTGTTTTTGCATTCCATAGCAAATAGTATGTGTGTAACAACTTATAAAAAACATCCCATATTGTAAATAAGATGTCATTTAATAAGAAAATGTCAATAACTCAATTTTGACAAAAATGTCAGATAGAAACTTATTAATCTAAGGTGAAGATTTTCTCTACCTTCTTAAGGTTATTGCTTTTCTTGTTCTCTTACTGTGTGTAAAGCGTCCTTGAGCACTGGCACTATATAAAATAAAAACAATAAATTTAAAAAAGTTTAACTGAGCTGACAATATTTGACCCACAGTATTCTCATAGAAGATATCTGCTATTACAGTGATAGTGTTGGCTTAGTACTTACCATTTGCATATGTCACGTTGATCACAATTCCCTTTTTACATCAACTTCTTTATGTGTTTAAACTTGTTTTTGTAGTTGTTACTAGTTCTCACAGATAGTATTTAAATTAGAATTACATCATTAATAACTAATTAACAGGGCTATTGTGTTTAAAGTATGTCAATAAACGTGGATGCCCCCAATTTGAAATATACTGAATGAAATGGACACTAAAATAATTAATTGTTATTAATTGCTATTTTAAATAGGGTTTCTTAAAATGTCGTAAATTCCAAAATCCAAATTTCACAGCTTAAAAAGTCCTAAATTTGCTGAAATATTGTGTTGTAGGTCTCAAATCATTTTTTAAACAAGTCTTCATTTTCAATTGTTCATGTTTTGCTAACCAATCTGGCCAAAACCTATTCAATCACCAACAATCCATCTCAATAAAACTTTCAACTTTTATTCAAAATGGTCATTTTAACTCTTTATTTATCATAATGGTTCAATTATTTTCCTCACAATAACATTTTTTTAAATGCGGTGCATGTATTCACTGCTGAGGACGTCGACCTGGACAGATTGTTGCACGTTGTTTTATTTTATTATAGTTTTTAAAACTTTTAAAACATTTTTATTATTTTGTTTTAAATAAAGTTTATGTTGGAAAAAAAGTGTGTGGATACAGGTAAAGCTTGCTTATTTTTACACAATATTTAAAAGCTTTTGCTCAGAAATATCTAAAATATTTTATTATTTTTTATTATTATTTTATTATTAAATGTATTAAATTACAATATTTGTTGATAGGGCAAATAAAAATCTTTTTCCATCTGGGCCATTTGAAAATTCTGTAGCCTTATGAGTCTAAAATTTCTTTCTGGTTTAAAATGTCAAAAAATGTGGATGCCCCCAATTTTAAATATGCTGAATGAAATGGACACTAAAATAATTAATTAATTATTATAAAACATTGTACAGTATTCTAAACTATATGATGTTGTTGTGGGACGACATGAGGCAAAATGAACAAATTATAGTGGAACAATAACATTTAGCATTGCACTGACTACAACTGGCCAACAACCTAGTTTAAAAATGGCTTTTGCTGCTTAAGAAATGGATTACAGCATGCTGATGATATGCAAAAATTGGTTAACCCTGGGTCATTCCAACTCTGGATAAACAGAATCCTGAGTTATCTGTAAGCACGTTCCACACTGTTCATGCTTTACCTGGGGTTAACAAATAATCCTGGGTGTTCATTAACAGACGGTTCACATTCCCAAACCACGGGTTATCATTATTATTTGTATATTTACAATTTTACTGTCCCTGATTGGAAAAACAGCAGGAAACCTTTTTAGATGGCATTTCTGCATCTTGTCGGGTATATAAAATGTCATCATGTAGGTCTTCAGCTATATCTCAGGACATGCACAAAGGTACGAAAACAAAGACAAAAATACAAATGAAGGAAAACAAGTAGCAAAGTATGTCATCTCGCCATCTCCTCATCACTCCAGTTTACAGAAAATGTGGCATTAAGCATTTGCATAAGTTATATACAATAATGCAAACTCCCAAATATAAGTGTGAATTATGCGCACTTGCTACGAACATGCAGGATTTGTCTCAAACGGGTCTTCCAAGCAGGTTAAAAATGTTAAAATCGAGTGGTGGATGCACATGAAGAAACACAACACGAGTAATCTAGAGCGAGTGCATTTGATCATTTGCATTTTAGGCAGGGAGCAGAAAGGGATGCATTACTAAATTAAGTAATTTATTAATTAAGGGGGTGCGCAACATATTTGAGGACCGGGGACACACACACAATTTACTGGAGATTATCATTCGATCATTTGTTTGCGGGCACTCTGGAGACCCTATGCATATGCGAGAGACTCCTGGAACTTCCGGGAGACTTGGGATGTCTAAAATAGTCTCTAGTAGTCTGACCTTGATTAGTTGGATCAGCTGTATTTGTTTGGGGTTGTAGCAAAACTGGGCAGAGCATTTAAAGAATCAAGTTTGAGACCCATGCTTTAAAGTGATAGTTCACCCAGAAATGAAAATTGCCTCACCATTTACTCATGTTTCTCAGGATCATTACAGTACATCATTTCATTTACACACAGTCTAATAACCATCAGTGATTCTACCATTCTCAACCCTTGAGTTGGGATAATATTATCTTTGCATATATAACACACACACACATTCATTCACTCGTCACTACATCTGTTGATGTTCCCAATATACACACACAGACACCAAATAAGTTACACATCCATATTTATTGAACTATTGCAAGTTTCATGTCTCATCTTTCGTTGTTGTGTGGTGTTGCAGTCTAGGTTACGGGAAGCAACTGGCAAACTCCTGTAGCTGCCTAGAAAGCTTGATAACACTAAACTTCAACACCGCGCATGCGGGATCACTCAGATAACTGGATTGCCTTAATGTTGCCTGTTTTTGGGGAGAGCTTAGAATACAAAACCAGCGAAATAAGAAAATACATAATAATAATATTGTTAAATACACCTGTTATGATACTGGAGATGATCTGAATGTGATGTATGTGATCATCTATAAATGTGCAATATTTGATCTTGTATAAAAGCCAGTAATAGAGGGCATTTAGTCTAAAAGCCAAACCAGTTGGTTGTTAAGGAGGTCTTTTGCAGTGGGAGGCAGATAGTGCTAGTGTACTGTACCTTTTCATGGAAGGTTGAAGAGCAAAGAGCGGTCATTTAATACATGTAAATATTTATATTCTAGTTTGTTTGTTTGTTTTGATCTTTGTTTCGTTATTTTTCTGATATCTTTTTTACGGATATAATTTGTACATATTTATGAGCATTTTAAATGGACTGTAATAAGGAACGGACACTGTCAAATTACATTTTGCATATAAGTGCTCTGCCATATTCTTTGTGACCTGTGTTCCATGATGCCTCATCACACTCTCCCTTGTGTGGTTTTAAACCTTTATTAGTTTTTTTTTAAATCCTGTTGAGCACAAAAGAAGATATTTAAAATAAAATTAAAACTGCTGGCTTTCTTTACGTTCCAGAAGAAAGGAAATGTTTAAAACCACATGACGGAGAGTAAATGGTAAGGTCACTTTCAACATCCAGTTAATGCTTGTTGCTTTGTGCCTTCATACTAAAGTTCACTTTTTTTTTAAAGACCTGATGGTGCTGAAAGAAGAGACTTATCAATGGAATAAAACGGAAGAGAATCAGTTTGAGAAACACCAAGAAATAACAACTGATGAAAAACCCACACTGACTGAAAAGACTTCATCAAGCGGAGGACCTCGGAAATCCAAATCTGCGTGTAATTTTACTTGTCTTCAGTGTGGAAACTGTTTCACTCGAAAACACAACCTTCAAGTCCACATGAGAGTTCACACTGGGGAGAAGCCTTACTCTTGCCCTCAGTGTGGAAAGAGTTTTAAGCAAAATGGCTACCTTAAAGTCCACATGAGAACTCACACTGGAGAGAGATGCTACACATGCCAACAGTGTGGACAACGCTTCTATAATACAGGAAACTTTGCACAGCACATGAGAATTCACACTGGAGCGAGACTGTACACATGCCTACAGTGTGGAAAAAGCCTCTATCAATCAGCAAACTTGGCAGCGCACATGAGAATTCACACTGTGGAAAAGCCTTACTCTTGCATTCAGTGTGGAAAGAGTTTTAAGCAAAATAGCACCCTTGAAGCCCACATTAGAGCTCACAATGATGGCAGAATTTTTACTTGCCCACAGTGTGGGAAAAGTTTTGCTCAAAAGCAAGACCTTGAGATCCACATGTTGATTCACACTGGAGAGAAACCTTACACATGCACAGAGTGTGGTAAACGTTTCAGATTTAAAAGCACACTCAAACAACACATGATAAGTCACACCAGAGAGAAGCCGTTTACATGTGCTCAGTGTGGAAGGAGCTTCACAACCAAATCTAGCCTCATGAACCACATGAATGTTCACACTGGAAACATAGTGTTCACTTGTGATCAGTGTGGAAAGACTCTCACACGCAAAGACTCCATTAAGAACCACATGAAGACTCATTCAGTAGAGCGTTTTAGATGCAGTGAATGTGGAAAAGGCTTTAAATCTAAAAGAAGCCTCAACACTCACATGAAGCTTCACAATGGAGAGCAGAGTTCTCAAAATTGAGGCCTTGTCCACCGGAGCTTGGGGCTCTCTCCTGGTACAGCATGCCAAACAAGTGTGAACTCTTGAATACATATCAAGTTACTGAAAATGAAACCCTTTGAACACCTGAAGATTTAAACTCAATAACTGAGGAGGGGTGAAGATTTTTTTGTAGTGTAGATCATGGGTCACAGCGCAGTACCAGGTTGTAAGAGTTTCAACTTTATGATGAACCAATAACCATATTTTTGCACATTGCACACTTCAAATGGTCAACAATGAGAAGAAAATTAGAAAGATTAGGGAGGAGAAACTGTCCTACGCCCTTAGATTGTGTTTTTAATCATTCATATTAATTGATTGTCATTCACGTAACCGAACACAGATTTGCCTCCAGTTTTGGGCTTTTGTCTGCACTTTATAAAATCTGTTGGCGAATGAAAGTCCGGCTAACCTCATGCGATGTGAACTCGCCATAAGGTATTGACAGTGACTGACTGATGCAGACTCCCTAAACCCTGTTCAGACTACAAAATGACATTTCCCAGTTGCAAAAGATCAGATTTGTGTTAGATAATTATGTGGTTTTGGGTAACAAATGAAGACTTTGGTTTCAGAACACTATACATTTATTTTGATGGACTGATTTAAGAAATGAACAAGTTTTTTATGAAGACCATTTAATTTCTGTATGCAACTAGTTACCTTTAAAGATATGTTCATGTGAGAACTCCCACATTACTACAGATAAATCGGTGTATGGAAAACCCAGTGTTGCTATTGTGAATGAGAACGTGAGTGATTTGTTAGCTTATATGCTAATTTCAGAAATCAACAGACTACTTAAGCACTTCAGCTTTTTGTTCATTTAAATTATTATTTATATGCAATACATATTGCACTGCTCATGAGCGCTGATTATATTGTGCACTGTCTGTAAGTGGTGTGTGTGTTAGGTGTGTGTATGTAGACAGCCTAATATGAGTCTATTAATCTCAAAGTCACACTTTAAAAGAAACTGTATACCACCAATGTTTTCATAATTTTGAAAATCCAAAAAAAAAAAAAAAAGTTTTGGGATAATATACTAGATCTCATTTTTATGTTATTATATTTTTTTATTAAATGATCAAAATAAATGTACAAACACAGTAGGCCTTACATTTATAAACAAGCATGAACTAATTGAATTACAACAATAGGCAGACACAAACATAGAAAAAAAAAAAAAAATATATATATATATATATATATATATATACACACACACACAATATAAATCTTCAAAGGGTTGTTAAGGGGCTATAGGGTACAGAATTTGCTGACAAAAAATAGCTACTTTAGTGACTTTATTATTTGACAAAGTACTAAGAGATGAAGCCATAATAGCAAGTTCTTTATTAATGTGTAAAATAGAGAAGAGGGGGTTGCAAAAGCCTACATTTATGAATAAAGAATTTTCCAAAGCATAAACGGTTATTAACCAGGTAACGCTGTGTACAATTTTCTTTAGTTACACCAAATTTAACTAGTTTATACAAAAATGGTTTACATGGATATTGACATGAGACATTCTGTCATGTACATGAGCCCAAAATAACTCTTGAATATATGCAATTGTAGAAAATAAGCTCAGTGGTTTCAATATCACTCTCACAACATTGACAAGAGTTATCTTCAGTATCAAATTTTAATCCCAGGAATTATTTTGATGAATACACATCAATGATTGTAAACTGAAACTCTTTCATTTTGAGAAAATTAGATAAGAAATGTAAATTATTCTTATATTTTTTCTAATTCCTGCGAATTAAAATCTTTAAAAATAATAAAATGAGGTCTGAGCTGATCAGGATTAAGCCTTTGAATAAGAATATTCCTTAAAAACCTATAATTACATTTTGTGTCTCTAAAACAAAAAGTCCTCAAAAACAGAGATGGAAGAGAAAACATTACAGAATAGTGTGAAGGAAAACCTCTAAACAATACTATGATGTTTTTAGGAAAAGCATTAATAATTGTGTAAAACTCTTTAGTTGACAAACAAAACCATGTTTTAAGCAGAAGTTATTGTAATTAGGAATGTCACCATGGCTATCCATTATATCCAATATATAAAAAAAAAATTTAACGTAATTTTCCTAAAATAAAAACTAATTTCAATATAAAATAAAATGATTGTTCCATAAACATGTTTTATGAGGACTGAAATTGTGGGAAAGTGCTAGTTTCAGCACAATAGGACCTGCTGGTGAAACAAAGACAGTTTAAAATCACATCTGATCAAAAAGTCAAAACCACCTAATTTGCAAAATACTGCAGAAGAAACTTTAAGCCATATACTGTTTGTGTTACAAAGAAATGATCTTAGCCACTGCATTTTTAGAACCCTGTTCATTAATTCCAGGTCAATAACATTTAGGCCTCCTTCTTTATATCTGTGAACCAAGTCATTTTTGTTTTTGTTGTAATACTTACTTTACCAGACAAAATTACAAATGACACTCCTCTGTATTATTTTATTAAATGTGGAGATAGCTAATGACGGGGCTGGGTAAACAAATCTAAATACCAATTCCCTTTTGGTTAATATAATTCAATCAAATATTTAGACATCCCTTTCCAACCAATCATTAAGAATGGTTTTGCTTTTAGAAATTGATTTATAATATTATTCTAAATATTAAGATTACTGTCTTTAGCAACAGTAATTCCTAAGTATAGACTTTCCTAAGTAAAGATTCTAAATCACTGCCATGAATTGCAATTAATTCACATTTTATTTATATTTAGATGTAGTCCAGATGCATAGGAGAAGAAATTAACTAGCAAAATGGCTTTGTCAATTCAAATTTTGTTCTTTGAAGAGCCCCTATTATGCATTAAAAAATATAATATTTTGGTTTTGGGGGTCTACAACAACAGTCTGAAATGCATGTAAGGTCAAAAAAAACTTTCAGTGTTTTATAATATGCATTTATTTTTACCTAATTATCCCAATGACTCACATATGAATCATTCAGCGAACATTAAATAAATAAAAAAGTCATACTGAGACAAAAAATGACTAATGATAGGAATGGGTCAGAACCCTTCAATTCTGGTGGATCAAGCAAGTCATCTAACAATAAAAAAGAAAGTACTTGAAAGATCCCATTCACTCCGGTAAAATTCTAAATATGTGCATTAAAAGTTGCATAAACACTGCTCTGAAACTTGCAATGTTTGTAAGGAAACTGTATCTTTTCATACTTACTCAAATGTGTACTACACAAGTGCTTCAGAAAATGTGCTATTGGCCCGGGCTCAGAAAATTTACAGTGCTGACAAGTAAATGTAAGTGGTGCTATTGCGTCATCACTGCCCAATCGTGTTTCTGTATGAATTTTTGCCAGGGGAACTTTTAAACTACTAATGGTGTTGAAAGTACAAAGACAGTCATTGTGTAGGCATGGAAAAGGTACCTTTTTTGTACAACCACCATGTTCCAAACGATAATATTTGAGAAGTTCCCCTCTTTTTGCAGAGTCAAAAATGCAATACATACATTTCCACATGTCCTTGTCTCATATCACCTGTAACAGAAAAGTTGAAAAAAAAGTTTAACAATGTCAGTAAAAAAAGGATAAAAAACAAAACAAAAGAACAATTACACTATAATTAAGATGGTAACGTTAATCTTACAACGTTATCCTAAATAAACCTAAATGTGCTAATAAAGGGCTCAGGCACTGAAAAAGAGTTCAAGTGATCATCCTGAAAGGTACATCTGAAAGATAGGCTCTTACAGTTTTTTCCAATTGTTTACACACAAATACTTGTACTTCAGACACAATGACTACAACATGTAACTGATGCGCCAACCCCCTTAACCAACTCTGCTAAACTACAAGCACAGTTGCTGCTTTACACTCAAATTGCAGGTTCAAACACACAGGATTTTGCACAATTTTCATGCAGAAAATCTTTTGTTTTCACAAGGAACACACTGTCATTCACAATTGTAAAGTCAGTTGCCCTACTTTGCATACTAACTCATCACATGAGTAAACACCTTTCACACAGAATTTCAATTTAGAAATCAGAGCTCATCTAGGTTCATACTAGTTTACTGCCCACCCATGTTTTTTAGTTGTTTATCTCCCCTTCCATATTCTCTTTTCCTCAAACCTATTGATTTTTTTTTCTGCGTGAAGATGAAAAGTGTATGCCCGAAATCCACACACAGTATACCTTTTCTCCAAGCTATAGCAGTTGATGCTTTTCGTGGCTGGATTCGCCATGCTAAGTGACATTTCCCCCACTGTTTGGCCAGACCAAAACAGAAATGAGGATGGAGTGTAGCTGTTTTTTTTTGTTGTTTTTTTTACTGTGACTGTATTCAGTAAATTCTTGATAGCATGTGTAGACCACGTTATGTGCAACTTTGTGTTGGTTGATGAACACCGTGTACAATGTATTTGTGGGGAAAATACAGTAAAATATATTTGGTATTCGTTTGTTTTGTATGAAAAAAATACTATGAAATAGTTTACAATGCACTTCTGTAGGCCCACTGTCTGTAGTAAAGTGAAATAATGAACAAAAAAAGGTTACAGAAAGTCATGATAAATGGAGAAGAAGTGGTCATTGTGTTTTACATTCAGCACATCAGTGTTCAACTGATCTTATGAATGTCTATTGATGTGATGGCTTGTGTATGTTATTTGAAAACAAAATACCATTTTGAGAATCACATTGTTTTGAACGCAGAGTTTCATTTTGCAGAAGAATTGAAGAGTTTTACCCAATGTGTGTGTGTTTTGTGATTTGTGTGTAGAGTTCTGACAATATGAGACATGCTTACAGAAAATGTGTGTAAACAATTGGAAAAAACTGTAAATAAGTAAATCATCGCATAGCTAATTATTTGAGACCATTGTGAAAATCTGTAATGCTTATGAAAAATCAATAATGTTAATTTGTCTCAGCTATAGCAAAACTAGCAATGCTATAACACACAATTAACCTAAAATTTGCATAATTTACAGGTGTACAGGTCAAAATTTTAAAAAAAGAAAGTCGACTTTTTAATCATACCTCGAGAACATTATGCTCAAAATACTGTTAATTAATGGCGACATTGACAAAACTGGCCGGAAAAACTATAACACACATGATCTAATTTAAGCACTGTTTCTCTGCCATGTTTTTCTGTAACAGAAAAAAATACTAGGCAACTTTATCAAATATATAACCTTACACCTCCTTTTAAAAAAAAATTGTTTTAATAATCATCAGGGCCGGATTAACCAATGGGCCTTATGGGCACAGGCCCAGGGGCCCGTGCGCACTAGGGGCCCCTGCGAGGGGGGAGAAAAAAAGACAATTTCGGAGTGTCTTTTTTGGCTAATTGCAAATAGCGCATGTAGTTGGAATAAGCTATTCAGGGTTTACGCCCTTCGATGCCTGATAAATAGAGACAAGATGAGTAAAGAGCAGTGAAATAATACAGCCGCAGTGGCGCACCTTGTAAGGCACACGGCATCCTCTTTTGACGCGATTAATCACAACATCGGTTCGAATCCACCATCAATTGAACTTGTGCTTCTTTTTTTTCTCTCCCCATTACATATCAGATTGGAAATATATTTATTTTTAACAGGAAAGAAACATTTTTTAAAAATAATGCAAATGTGATATAAAGTCACAAGTGTCTCGTGGGTATTTAATAATGTTTAGCCTTATTATAGGTGCCTGCCGCGCCTCCCTCTCTTCAAAAACTCTATTGCTCAGACAACTGTATTTCCTCTGAGCAAAAAAAAATCGCGATCACATATTAATATTATTATTATATTTAAATTGCCTTTCTTTCTTTAACTAAACAGAATGCTGTAATTGGTCAAGTGCGGAAACGTCAGTTTTGTAATAAC